CGGGTGGCATGGACTTGCAATACCTCTGTTTTTTTCCTGATTTTATTGGAAAAGGAGCACCCCGAAACCCCAGGGCGGGAGCAGGGGGAACCTGAAGGACAAAATGAAGGAGGTTACGAAAGGAGCAGAGTGGGTTATCGGCGCAAGTGCATTCCTGCGGGGCCAGGCGGGCTGGGCAGCTGGGGCCCCTTTCACAAACCCCGGGGAGCTGTTTGCACAGCGCCCGCCGTTTGTCCCAAGAACATTTCTTAAATTGTTTCTAGCACTCTCAAGTGCGTGATTGTGCCTTGTCCGGTTATTTTAGCGATTGCTGTATGAGCAAAAGTGTTACCCAAACACCCCATCCCCACAAACACACAGCGGGTCTGCCGGAGGGACCCACGCTTCAGGCAGGAGCTGGAGGCATGTTTTATTTGCCACCACCTCCGTTGGCCAGGCTCATTGGAAACCCGATTAGTGACTCCAGCCCCGAAATCCGTCCCCATCCCCGGGCTCGTAGGGGCAGCTGGAGCAGCTGCAGCCCTGGAGGGGACCAGCAGGCTGGAGCACACTGTTTCCCACGGCCCCGGCCCCTGCCCATGCCTCCTGGGGAGGCTTCAGAGGTGGCGGCCGGGCTGTGCCACCCACAGGGCACAGCGAGCGCCCGGCTCTGCCCGCCAGCAGCCGTTGAGGATTTTGGAAAGGGCTGGGGATGGGACCGGCGCTGTGCCAGACACCCCGAAGCAGTGGGACAAAGCTCATCACCCATGTTTCCATTGCATCTGGAGCCAGGTGGGATGTTGTCCTCCTAGGCTTATTTTCAGGAGCATTAATTAACTGCTCTTTTTCCCAAGCCTCTCTCCACAACTCCAAGGCAACAGGATTAAAACCAGGCTGAGTTTACAGTGTGATGGACGTGCACTTGGATGGCGTCGTTCGGAGGGGTCGCACTCTCACACAGATGGCCTCGACCCCAGGAGGTCCCCACGCACACACACGCTGCTCGGGGCTCATGTAGCACCTCGTCCGTCCCTGGCTGGTGGGATGTGGCCGAGCCGGGGCTGGCTCCTGGCTGCCACAGGCACGTCTGTCGTGATCACAGCAACGTTTTGCTCTTGTAAAATGTTAAAATTGTGTTTATCTTACTATTGAATCCTCTACCCATCGCACCCATACCCCGAACACTGAACCACAGGTGGGCACAACAAAAGCCCAGGGATTTTTCTGTTAACGAGGTTGGGGCATGAGGGTAGCCATCAGTTGACGAAGTTGACAGCCGTTCCCGCATTGCCCATTCCCAGCCCATTTTCATTGTAACCAAGTGTCCGAAAGGGGTTTCTCAGGGCACCACTGCTTTTGAATGTTTTATTGGAGACTGGAGCCAGCACAGGTTATTGAGTACTTCAGCAGCACAGCAATACAGTGCGTGGCTGGCAGGGTTTAATACGTATCTGATTGTATTTCCAATTACGAGAAATGCACTGAAGCCAGTCCTGAGGCAGGCCAGAGAGCTCTAAGCGCTGCAAATCTGGGCCATTTAGCTATGTTATGACTTCTTCTCCTCCCTCATGATTCATCTGGAGAGCAATTAAAGCCCTTGTAAAAATGTGTTCCCAATTAAAGAATGAGACTGGCTCTGAAGGATTAGACAAATTGAGGAGTAACTTTTGCAGTAGCGCAGGATTTGTATGAGCATCCCTTTTTTCGTTCATATCAAGCAAAATCCTGTGTGAACCAGTGGGAATGAAAACTGCTGTTGGAAACCTGCTCCAAAGTCTACGGCATCCTTCCTTAAATTAAATTTGAATCCGGACTGGGGCTGGGGCTTTCGGAGCTCCACCTTACTGCTGCGCTGCTTGAGATGTAGCAAAGCAGAGCATACAAAATCCTTTTTGGAGAGGCTGAACCCAAACAGGGGCTAGCTTGCAAATTGCTGGTACCTGCTGGCCAGGCCACTCGGCAGCATCCCTGCAGGGACTGCGGGGACCGTGCTGCACCGTGTCCCTGCTCAGGCAGCAGCCCTGCCCTGCCCTGCCCATTACCTCCACCCCGGCGCAGCCACCAAGACCAAAACTGCAAATCCATCTTGTGTGCACAGGTCTTATTCTGATCCCTCTGAAGCCGCTACATGCTTCAGGCGGCGGCTCCTAACAGCTTCAAACAACCGTATTAATCTGTGACAGCCTCCCTTGCCAAAGCGCGCAGGGCGGCGAAGGCGCAGGGAGCACAGCAGGAGCTGCGCAGCCAGACTTTTATGGCCACAAAGGCCAAGTCGCACCTGCTAATGGTTGTGAATAGACTTGCAGACAGCACCAGGTGTGCCATTTCAACAGATTTCACAACTGGGTGTGCCTTTCATCTATGTATAGAGCCCTGGCGAGGGGATGAAGCATGCTCAGCAATTGTCCTAATTTAGCAAAAATCCTATTTGTCCAGTGGGTCGCCCAGCTCGGTCGGCACGTGTATTTCAGGAGCAATTATATCGGTTGCCCTCGGCCTGGCCCCGGCCGTGGCCCTGCGGGGAGTCGGGGAACACCGCTTTTATCGTTGGCGGAGAGGGATGGTAACAAGGGAGCGGGTGAAAAGGCAAGCGGCCGCCTGCCAGGGGAGCGTGCTTCCAACAGCGCAAAGAGCATCCCCGTGCACCCGGGAGAGCACGGGCGGCCGGGGGACCCTGCACCCCATCCCCGCGCCTGCCCCCACCTACCCCACGGTGTAATTCAGCTCGTTTATTTAACTTGTCAGCCTTTTAGAGAAGACATTTTAATCTTATCACTGTTCAGTGGTTAATACCGTAAGTCCTGGGAGTAGCTCAGGGCTTGTAGATACTTTACAAATAGGGTAATAAACAACAATAATAAACGAGGTCCATGTACTCGCAAGGTGCTGGTGACATCTCTTCTGCCACCTAATAGTGAGCCTGACAGCAACATTACATTCAAGATTTTATAATTTCAGGCTTCATTAGAAGCCTGAGTCATAATTTCAGGTTCATTAGATTATGTCTATATCCCAAAGCCACATCATAAAGATGAGAGAGATGCTAAGATTTGTTTTTTAAATGCAGACCACTCAATTGTACTCAATAAAAGAAAGACGCTGATCTCATGGGGATGGTTGGATGAGATCAGATAAGATTTTTGCAGGCTGGAGTCAGTATTCATTAGCAGCAAATGGGGACCCTGTTTATTCTGAACTGTCTGCTCTCCATGGACGTATGTGTGATGGCACGTCCGAAGGATGCGTCCAAAACATAGACGTGATTTCAAGATTCCATTAGAAGCACTTTTTTCCTGCCTGGGCTTGGCCGATGTATATCGGATTTGCTCTAATTATGATCTCTGAAATGAGCCCTGATGAGAGAAGTGGCATCTGAATTGCTCTTGTATTTTTATAAATATGAATCATCTACTGTTTTGAAAAAAGTTCAAGACCTTTCTCCCACATTTTCAAACCTTCCTAATTCCTTATAAAAATCCCCACCAAAATTAACAGGGAAAAAGGAAAAGGATGAAGATACGTTTATATTTAATGTTGCAAAGCCAAACACCAGACACAACATCGCTTTATGTACAGCTTTCACTATATTGCATCATCACCGCTGTTTCTGTGGAAAATTCCCAAATTGTGGAAGGAAACCAAAGTAATCCCTTGACCATTTTGTTTCTGTTTGAGAATTTCAGATTGCAGGGATGGCCGGGCAGAGCACAGGGCCTGGGTGTGGCATCCCTTGGGGTGTGAAGGCTTCAGAGCCACTACAGTCCCCCGGGGTTTTGTAGGTGTCTGCCCAGTACACCCCTGGGGAGGAACGGACTGGGAGGTGGGGGCAAAGCTGCTCAGCTTCTCGTCCGGCCTTCTGGATCGTGGAGAAGTGCTGAGGGACTGCCCAGCTCATGCAACTGCCCTCTGTCACGGTTATCCGGAAGAGAAATATAGATTGCATCAAAAATGGTTAGTCTGAAGCCCGTAGCTTGCATTGGCAAGGTCGCCTCGGAGGGCAGCGGAGGGCTGGTGCTGCGTGGCTGTCCCCGTGCCCCCGCGAGGGCTGCAGCTTCCCTCCCCGCACGCCCCTCCATGCTGCTGCACCACGCGCCCCCTCTTCCCACGCAGTGACTTCCCGCTCTCACCCCATGCCTGGGAAACCCCTGCTGCTGCTCTGGTGGTGGCAGCTCCTCTGTATCACCCCACACAGCCCCAGGGCTGGGCTGTGAAGCAGACAGGCTTCGGGAACCTACAACTTGCAAGTCCTCCACCCTTCTGTCTGAGCGATGGGGAACAGCCGCCTGCTGACCAGCAGCGGTAGTTTGGGCCAGATTTTGGCAAGTCTGGCACTGCCCTTGGTGATCCCCCAACACACACACTCTTGGGGAGGGACAGTTAGTTAGAGGGACAGCCACAGCGCCTTGGAATGGGCAAAATACGTGTGTGTTTCAAACTGTCCAGTTCCAAGACCGGCTGGCACCAGCTGTGTGATGCGCACAGAGGTTTTAGGACCTTCATCCTCCCCAGTGCTGGGGACAGCCATGTGCTCTCTCTGGTGGCCCAGCAGCCCATAGTTCATGATGTGCACGTTGCATGGTGGCACAACAGATCCAGCGCTGTCTGACCTGCCTCCTCCAGGGGTGGTCTGATGAGTCCAAACCGAATGCAGGTGCCGAGATTTGAAGGCATTTCTAGACAGACTGATCAGTGGAATGTGTATTTAGTCTGATGAATCACACCTCGAACGCTTGTCACCCACACGGGTGGGTCAAAGCCTTGGGCTCTCACCAAGGTCGTCAATGCAATGCGAGTGCACCTTGTGAAGCACCGACTCCAGGTCCTGGATGCGGCAGGGGAAGGTATGTCTGACTGGGGAAAGCTCTCACCATCGCACGAAGAGCCTCATTAGAAGTGGCGTTTTGTCCATGTGTAATTCTGGGGCAAACGGTATAAATACATAAACGCTGCTTTGAAAAGTTTCAAAGTCTGATACCCCTCCACTACACCAATTTATTTTTCCAAATTACTGCATTATGCAGCAAGGCGGCTTTTGACATGCATATGCACACACTTATTAGCTTGACACTAAACAGATCAACAAGCTGCTGTGTAATAATTTTGACAGAATCAAATAGATATTTTGGTAACTACAGCCTGGAATAAAAGACATTATTTATTATACATATTGTAGTAGTTCGTAAAGGCCTCAGCAGCAAGCAGGACACATTGTACTCGACACCGTCAAGACGCAGAGCAGCAGAGACCCCGCCCTAAAACACCTTCCAATGTAAATACATCAGACAGACTGAATTTATTTACTTTTCACGATTAACTCAGCCCTTGACTCACCACAGACCAGGCACAGTTCAACGCAAATGTGTCTGAACTTTCACAAAAGGTGTCTGACTCGCACAGACGAAGGCTGCTCTTTCTCCAGTGGCTTTCCAAGGATCTTTCCTCCCTGTCAGTAGAAGAACCAGCAAGTACCAGTTCTAAAAGCATTTTTTTAAAAAAGTATTTATTTATACACCCGTTTAGATATGCAGTGATTTTAAATCAGCCACTGGATACCATCATGCATCTGTACTGCATTTATTCCAGTTGCTATTTGAAAGTTTGCATATTCGCAGTACTCATCTTCTAAACATACTTAGTACCTCAGTAATCCTAGAAGCACATATAATGTCGTCATGTTAATTAACATTAACTCAGTGAATAACATAAACCAGTGCATAATTAAATTGCCAGACTTGATTCTCTTTCATTCATGCTCTTAACAGTTTCACATGACAAATAGTCCACATTTAAACTACGCTGATAGAATAAGTAATATACATCCTAATTAGACCACTTTATTAAATCTAATTGTGTTGCTGCGTACGTCTGTGCAGGTTGCACGGGCTTCAATGTAAACTGCTCAAATGATGATAAAATCTCTCAATAAAGCACTTCAGATCATTCGATTTCAAGGAGCGTTATCTGAGGGGCAAGTCCCATTCTTCCCATTTGGGCGACAAGGAAACTGAGACCACAGAACATCTCACGTGTATTAGTCACCTCAGAGTCAAATTAAAAGAATTTGGCCTCTCGAGTCCCGCTCTAGAGGACAAAGTTTGATCCAATTAACCAAGTATTACCCAAAAAACAAACAAAGCAGCATGTGTTCCAGTAGAAGCCCCCATCATTCATCCCTCCATCAGTGCTGCTCAGCATTATAGTGGGAACAAACAGAAGCACATAATCTTACAGCTGGTCTATTGTCAAAATGACACATTAGCAGAAGGATTTGCAGACATGTTTGCTTATGAAATAAAGGTCTGCATGTTCAGAAATGCCAATGTTTTCTCTGTACAGGAGCTACACACCACAGAGAAAGCTGCTCCCTGAAGGCTGTGCAGAACTCAGGAACGTACTCAGGATATCTGTGACTAGTAAGGTTTGCTGCCTCCCCCCCGCCAAATATCAGAAACTGCAGTGAATACACAGCTGCCATTACATAGAGACCACAGTGACAGGCTGGCGTAGCAGCTGCACTGAGGTCCTGAGCAACTCTTCAAAACAGTGGTAGAGCAGTGCCATGAAAAAGGAGAACTGGACATTTACTTAGCCTTTGTGCGAAACTCAACATTTGCTTCTCGGAGGCAAATCCTGGCCCCAGTGAAGCCAGCAAGTGTTTTGCTAATGATGGAAACTGGGTCAGGATTTTAATTCAGAATTTACTTCCAAATTTATTTCAAGAAAGATTTGCTCTGCGGTAAGTTGATCAATCCAGGCAGTTTTCTGTATCCACAGAAACAGCAGGAAAGCTTTTCTTAAAAGCATGGTGTTTTGATTTTATTTTTTTAGTAGCTTGGGTGCTATGTTGTTTTGGAACCACATGAAGCTGAAGATGACACCCATCGTCTTTGGGAGAGTCTCATCATAAGCAAACTTCATGGAATCTTCTAGAGGTATTTCTACAACTTCAATCAGCTCTCCTTCTTCAGGCTGGCCACCTCCTTTACCAGCTCTCATCTGGTCTGTTACTTCTGCATAAAATAACGTCTGCCTAGAGCCTGTCACACCAACTCCAGACCTGGAAAAAAGCAGAGAGGAAACTTTGGTTTAGATAAAAAGAAGGTAGCTGGGAACTAGGAATGGAAATCTGGGTCCTTGACTTGTGTCACTAAGCAACATCAAAATGTACGTCCTTACCCTCTCTTAATGTCATTCAGAACCTATAAATGCAATTTCGTTAATACAGTAATTGATTGCAACTTTCATGCAGAAATATCAACACTTTTGAATACAGCTGCCTATGAAATGGATCTGTCTTCAAATATATTCTGCAACTTTGGAAAAAATGTTAGTTCAGGAGAAGATAAGAAAGTTGTTTTGAATAGGTGAACAGTTGTTCTACATACACTGAAGGCAACATAAGTTTTTCCAACTGACCTTATGAGAACTGGACTGCACGATGACTCATAGCGATTTACAAACAACAGAAAGAAGCTCCTCAGTGCATCTGTATGCTATCATGCTACATTTGTTTGCTTGTTTTTACACAAATATTTAGATTTTTTTACTCTTAAGAAGATTATATCCATTCACAGCTGGAGTCCTCTACTCATGGACTGGGTAGGTATGAGAAGAGAAAGGCAGCCTGAGAGTCTTTCTCTATCCTTCCTGAACTTTAGCCTTGACCCAAATGGACCGCTGTAAGCACGCACATATCTGAAGTAATTCAGTCTCCCTGATAAATTTGCTACAGTGGATTTAGTTGAGGATATCTTAGATTATGTAGTCTTTCTTCAGCTAGACCGCTTGCTGTGTATTAGACTTCTTATTTGTTAATCCTCTATTCTTTAGGACTATTTCATTTAGGTATTATTAAATAAGGGATAAGTACATAATCCACTCATTTAGTCCTTCCAAGAAAATATTCACATCGTAATCGCAACTTCTTCATTTCACATGATTACAGGCGACTTTTCACATTGAATCTGGATCCAAAGTTCACTGAAACTATGAATGAGGCATTAGGGCAAGCTGAAAAATTAGCTTCCATATTATTACACATACAGAGGATTCTAAGATTTGTAGCAGTATTATCATCTTAGAGGGTATATCAATACTTACCCAACCATTAGTCAACTAAATCTTTCAGTTAATCCAGCATAAATCACACCCCATAGCAGGAATTAATCATTTGTCTCTCAATCATCCAAGAACACTGGCAATTATTTTGTTTGGAGAATTAATAGTGATTACTGAAGTTGGTTTCTTACATCAATATACACTCTTTTTTTAAACACAGAATAGGGAGCGAACCAGTGAATTCTTTTCCTAAAATTACTACTGATACATTCTGTGACCTTGGGAAAGAAGTTTCACAACTCCAGGATCATTCCTGTATCTCTACAAAGTGCTCGAGAAACTTAAGCATCTTTGGCACTTCCAGGAACTTTGAAGGCTGCTGCTGTGGGATTTCTTTCATTCTGGGCTCATCACTTCATTTCAGTGTCAGTAGCAGGTTTTTTGATACACATTTTAACCAACAAAATGTGACCTACTAGGATGCAGCAAGAGGCCAAACTAACAGTTTTCCCTCTCCCTTCCACTCTCACCAAAGTACATGACCTCCTTTCTCAGTCAATCTGACTCAGTATTTACTTTCCCTAAGGACCTATTTTCTGCAGCCACTGTCCTTGGTATTTGTACGCTATTCTGATGACCATCAGAGATGGTTTGCCAATAGAAGAGCCATCCAGGGCTGACAATCATCCACAGACTGTATGTGCCACTGGCACTAGATGAAGGGGTTTCTCAGGACTCCCCGTGCCACGCTCCCTTTTCCCTTTTCTGACGGGAAGCTGCCTGGAAGAGCAACGCCGTTCGCCAGCCGTGCTGCCACTCACCTCACCGCAACTGAAGATCCAAGCAGCAGACAGCACAACACAAACGCAGTCTTTGAAAGCAGCAGGAGCTGCACACTGGGCCCACCGTGCTGGCTTAATCATTGTGATCTCACTATAGAAGTATGGCAGATTTATTTTTCATCAAGTTGCTGTCAGCAACTAGCTCGCAAAATTTGGAATGACATTTTGAATGTCATGAATGAAAGTGCCCTTTCTGCTGTGAGGACGATGGCGCACTTTACTAGATTCCCTTTATGTTAAAATACAACATATTTTCTTCATATTATCAAGCAATAATATATAATGTCAAAAAGCAACACTGGAAATGAAATACTGATTAAGAGCAAAGAGATCTATTTCACAATCCATCACGGCTTGCTATTTAAGCTCTAGTCATTCAGTGAACAGTCTCCCCCAGCTTAGTCACCTTGATATCTGCCACTGACCACTGACCCGTGTGCTACCCACTTCGCACTATCATAGCTCTGCCCATTGGAAAGAGCCTCACTGAGAGGATGTATTTGTGATGGAATAGTAGATTGTTTGTTCATTTTTTGTTCCCTCTTTTCCTTCTTCTTTTCTTGTGTGAGGAGGCAGAAAGGATTATTTTTCTTAATCAACTAGAGATCCAGATCTGTTTTTCTATATATATAGTGATTACTCATTCTTCAATTCTTTCTGCAAGAACTGCATTTTTAGTAATTAAATAAACATAGAAAGCCTGGGGTTCAGAGATTGCTTTTTGGTAACTCATAATAAGAATAAAAAACAAGTTAATTTATACTGTAAAATTTGCAAGACAAAGAATGCAGCTTGCTAGTCTCCACAGGTACTATGAAAAACCATAGGACTATGAATAATATATTTAATGTTCTGTTATTTCTGATGAGTGTCAAATCTGAGCTTCATCTGGGGTGCCCCACCTGGAGAATGAAAATGCTCTTGAGTATACCCATGTCCACCTGATATTATGTAAAGGTTATATACAAAACCTTAGAGACTTTATTTAAGAAGCCCTTCTATAAGAATGTTCTAGCTTGATTATTTACAGCATAATCCCCTTCTATACCACCCATGACCATTTACTTATGAAATAGCTGCAGCTGTGGAAATCACAAGAGTTCACTTTCCACACCTCTTTTAAACATGTTAATTTATACTGTAAAATTTGCAAGACAAAGAATGCAGCTTGCTAGTCTCCACAGGTACTATGAAAAACCATAGTACTATGAATAATATATTTAATGTTCTGTTATTTATGATGAGTGTCAAATCTGAGCTTCATCTGGGGTGCCCCACCTGGAGAATGAAAATGCTCTTGAGTATACCCATGTCCACCTGATATTATGTAAAGGTTATATACAAAACCTTAGAGACTTTATTTAAGAAGCCCTTCTATAAGAATGTTCTAGCTTGATTATTTACAGCATAATCCCCTTCTATACCACCCATGACCATTTACTTATGAAATAGCTGCAGCTGTGGAAATCACAAGAGTTCACTTTCCACACCTCTTTTCTTTAAAGTAAAGGAAAACTGCTTCCTGAGGTGCTACACCGTAAGATTCAGTTTCTTGCCACTGTAGCTCAAATAGCATGGAGTGATTTCAATATGCAATTATTTCATTGTATTTACTCATAGAATCATAGAATCATTAAGGTTGGAAAAGACCTCTAAGATCATCGAGTCCAACCATCGACCCAACACCACCATGTCCACTAAACCATGTCCCTAAGCGCCTCATCTACACGTCTTTTAAATACTTCCAGGGATGGGGACTCAACCACTTCCCTGGGCAGCCTGTTCCAAGGTTTAACCACTCTTTCAGTGAAGAAATTTTTCCTCATGTCCAATCTAAACCTCCCCTGGCGCAACTTGAGGCCATTTCCTCTCATCCTATCGCTTGTTACTTGGGAGAAGAGACCGACCCCCACCTCGCTACAACCTCCTTTCAGGGAGTTGTAGAGAGCAATGAGGTCTCCCCTCAGCCTCCTTTTCTCCAGGCTAAACAACCCCAGTTCCCTCAGCCGCTCCTCAGAAGACTTGTTCTCCAGACCCTTCACCAGCTTCGTTGCCCTAACATATGATAATTCTATTAAATCAGTGTTTCGTTTCTTATGAACTAAATACATCGAGTGGCTACTACACTGAATTTACTTTAAAAGAGAAAAGCACTGGACATCAATGTCTTTCCTTTGTTACATGCCCAAAGTTAATGGCACTTCTTCATGTCTACTGGCCTATCATTTCCCACAGAAACCAATAAAAAATTTGCAACAATACATATCCAAGGGAGGACATACCCACATGTTCATTCTTATTTGACTACCTAACTTATCTTGCTCTGGTGCAACTTTGCCATGAGTTATTCATTAAAAACTAATAAAAACTTCCAAATGAGCTATAAATAAAATCAGAGTGCTGGTATTAATACTCATTCTATTCTACTCTTCCCCACCAAAACCAGCAAATTTAACGTTTCTAAGACTACTTAGAATCCCCTCGCTATTTAGACAGGGGACTTTGAAGACTATTGCATGACATTATTTATGTACATATTCACAGCTTTTATTGTCTAACTACTTGTCTATTTCAATGGTTTCAGAAAGAGGTTGAAAGAAACAGGAATATACTTTAATTCATAAAAAAGGCATATGTCTTACCTTTTTTATTTGATATTTCTTTCTCTAAATGCTCTGGCTTACTCTGGCAGTTCATCATTTTTGCATGGATCCATGTGGAATGCCCTTTACTAAATTAAATATTCTCCAGTATTGCCTACTGCCGTCTTTCACATTTCCAGACTCTTAGATATTAATGTATCCAGCCTGTCCTTAGAAAATTGTCCAAAAATCAATGCTATTGACATTTCATTTGTCTTAGTACCTTTGGTTTTTATAGAAAACAAAAGTTAGCAGGTTTGTTGCTCTGAAGCCATTCTAAGCCTCCATCTGGTTGAAGTAATAAAGTGTTTTAACACACAGCCTTGGAAAATGTGTATACATTTCAGTGATTTTGGGTACTTGGGGCCGGAGGAGGAAGAGAGGAGAGAGGAAGAAGGTGGGTCTGACTGGTAGAGGCAACAGGCTGCTATTATGTTTTCAGTATGCTTTCAGGTTTATCTGTCACTAGAAACTTCCTATGCTTTTGCACACTTACTTGCACTTTCTGAGTACGA